AGAATAAGCAGAAGAGAGATTTGTGTTTCGCGACTGTGTCTATCTCTACTTCTAGCTTCAGTCCCTATTTACAGGGAACATACAAAAAATATACAAAGTCTAGAACTTTTCACTTCGCATACAAAATGACTTAGTAAAATAACATAAAATGCGAAACAATACAATACACTATTTTCGACTTTTTATAATTTACATCTACAGAATGATTACATACCTTGTTCCATTGAGATTTTCGGATCTAGAGACTAGGAAGAGCTTTCCAGTTGATCTCAAGAACTCTCTCTAAAATCCCTCAGCAATGAACCATACGAATTTCTTAGTGTATTTTCGTGTGTCTTGATTTGCTCCTCATCACATATATTTATAGATGGAGATAAACCCTAATGTGAGAGATGGAAGGGATCTTGAGGATCTTGAGTCAAACCGGGAACTCAACCCACAAGGTAAGTAAATATTCTATAAATCGGTCCATCAACAATTTATACTCTTACCATAATAATTGGATTTAATAATATATATCTACATATTTATGAAGTGGTCCTATAATTATCCAACAATCTCCCACTGGACCACGAATATATAAATGTACGTATAACTGTATAAGCACTTTAATGAATGTTATTATAACATTGGTACCCTTAAACAATCTCGTCCACTAATCATAATAGTATAGGATCAAAGCGGCCTTCGTTACAATTTACGTAACTAAACCTATCAATGGTCACATCTACATATATAACTAACAACATAGATTAAACATGATGTGTGGTTTTAAAATCTAAATAGATTTACAACGAGTTCCTCTTGAGATTGAAGTAAGATCAAACTTCAAATAAGTGCAACTAATAACGGAGTTCACCGAATTCTTAATTCTGTACAGAAAAACATAATTGATCTTAAACAAAACGCAAAGCACCATAAAACTCCCACTAAAACCAAATATCACACCAACGTGTGTAGTATGCTCCTGAAAGACCTAGGGAGGTAATCCCTTTATGAGCGGATCCGCTTTCATGGAGTTTGTTCATATGTGCTATATATATATATATATATATATATATATATATATATATATATATATATATATATTTCCATTTTGCACTATTGTGTTAACAGAAGGAAACTTGATGTCAATATGTTTTGACTTAATAGAACTTCTGTTGTTGGAATATAACATTGCTGACTTATTATCACAACTTTAGTGGTCTTTCAATACCAACAATGTGTAGCCTCGTGACAAATTTCCGCAACCATATTCCATGTTACAAATTATGCTGCCATTATGGAAGAAGCTACCGAAGTTTATTCCATGAAATGGTTTATCATGCTAAAATGTAAAAGTATCCTGATATGGATCAGTAACCATTTTGGCATCTAATAAAATCAAATTCTTAATAAAAATGATCTCCAAAACATCTAAATTTCCTGTAGTTGAGCATATAGACTTTTGTTATATATAGATATCTCAAATCCATTTGGTTGCTTTCTTATTATCCAAACTTGAGTTGCATAGATATCTACCCAAATCCAAAAAGATAAATTTACTCCCACTTAATATGTGATACACAAAACCATCTTTTGTATTTACCTCAAAACCAAAAGAGATAAAAAAAAAATTTGATGAAAAATATGGTACCACGCATAGGATATCCAAAGTTGAGGTTGTTGAGTTTGTGTATTTTGAATAGGAGATTGAATAACATTGTCGATCATTTTTCCATAATTTGCATACTATCGAAAGCAATAATAGGAATCAAGATTGATTCCTCCTTAAAGATAATGTTTTAACCTTGTTTCTCCCCCAAACTCAACATCCTCAAAGAATGTTGTTGTATCCAAAAATACAAGGTCAATACCTATACAATTGAGAACTAACATAATGCCCTCATTCCATTCCTTAAAGTTAATCTCATTGAGTACATGACTCATAAATGTGATCAATGTTAACAAAAATAATACCATAATTCAAACATAAGCAAATCTATTTTTATGCTCATTAATCCATAAACCGTAATCAATAAATTCAATTTATGACATCTTTATAAGGTATCAACACAAGATTAATATCAAGTCTTTGGACAGTAATACTAACTTGCAAGAGATAACCTTATTTTAGAGATAAACATTGATAATAAATCATGTCAATTAACAAGCCCCTCTTTGGATTGACTTATTAATCACATGGAACCAAAAAATCACCACATGTTTATCACCACATATATGTTTATTCGGCCAAATATCAGTTTACCTTTGGGTCAACTAATACCCTCATTAATAAACACATAAACTATAAATTTTGATAATAAGAATTGACAATATATCATATCAATTAATAAGTCCCTCTTTGGATTGACTAATTAATGACATGTAACCTAAAAATTGTCACATATTTATCATCAAAAACGTGTTTATCCGACCAAATACTAACCTACATTTGGGTTGATTAATATCCACATTAATAAACACAAACCATACAATTTAAGTTCTTTGTAAATTAATTTTTACAAAAGATATCACTTTGACGATATATTGTGTCAATTAATTTATCTTTAAAATAAGTAATAGGTCATAAATGAAATTTATCAATAATCAAAAATAATAATAATAATAATAATAATAATAATAATAATAATAATAATAATAATAATTACAAATATTAATCGGTATCAAAATTACCGTTTTCATAAGTGTAATTTATTGGCCAACTAAACATATCAAAATAAACAATGATATGTAGACAAGCATATATTTCCACATGTAAACATGAATTAGTTTTGTGGGCATGATATAACAAATTTAATAAACATTATCCTAAATTTCATTCAACACCATGAATAATTGTTAAGTTTATAATTTGTTAATGCCATAAATGTTTACTTAACTAATTGGCCCATGCATACACACGCAAATGGGTGTAACTGAAAGAAAAAATAGTGATTAAAACTTCAAATATAAATCCAAAGGAGTAGAGTTACGTCAACAAAGGAAATAATAGAGTTTGACAACTCTACAAGGGTTTGACGTGAGCACTTTAACACACTCGAATGCAATATTTAATTTGCAACATTTTCTTTCAAAATCTTTGTAGGTTTATTATTTATCAAAGGAGTATGGTCAATTTTGCTAACTCCTAACAGGGCTGATTTCATTTACCAATACACTAAACAGTAAAATCAGTAAAGCAAAGTTCCAGTAGTCAAACTCAAGGTACAAAATATATGCACACAATCTTGTTTCTAGTACAACTCAATGCAGTAAATTAATATTAAAGGAAGCCTTAAACCAAATGTGTTGTTATCAAGGTAATCAAGACACATAAAAGTCACGGTCTAGCAAACTCAAATAAAAAATAATAATAATAACCAGCTATGGATAGCATATAACCATCGGTCCATAAATTATTTGAAGCTTTAATGTCTTTTGAAGAAAAAAACAATATACTCTTGATCTCAAGAAGTAACAAAAAAATAAAATATCTCAAACCTCTTTTTCCCTCATCGTCGGACACGAATGTACAATACATAAAACAATTTTGAAGTAACGAGGACAATCAGGTATGTTTTCATTTAAAGATCAAAAGAACTAAGACCATCACACAATTTGTTGATAACAGATTCGAGTACGGCTCTGATACCAATTGTTGGATATTTTAATAACCAAAACGTAAAACGCGGAAGCATAATATGAAGATCTTTAATCTCAAATCTAATTAAAAGAAACTTAAACATCAAAGAATGATTACATACATTGTTCCATTGAGATTTTCGGATCTAGAGACTAGGAAGAGCTTTCCAGTTGATCTCAAGAACTCTCTCTAAAATCCCTCAGAAATGAACCATACGAATTTCTTAGTGTATTTTCGTGTGTCTTGATTTGCTCCTCATCACATATATTTATAGATGGAGATAAACCCTAATGTAAGAGATGGAAGGGATCTTGAGGATCTTGAGTCAAACCGGGAACTCAACCCACAAGGTAAGTAAATATTCTATAAATCGGTCCATCAACAATTTATATTCTTACCATAATAACTGGATTTAATAATATATCGTATCGTGGTCCCATAATTATCCAACAGGATTATGATAAAAATCAAATCTTTGTTGGGGAATTGAAGTTTATGCGAAATTGACCGTAAAGAAACTTGGAGGAGATGAATAAGTAACCCGTAAGTGTAAATTACTTGTAAGGAAATGTGAACGCAATGTGTTTTTCGGAAAAGCTGGAATGGGTGGAAATTAAAGTAAGGCACTTATTTGGTCAAAAGAATAGGGTAGCTAAGTAGCTTTATTTGAACAAATTAAGAATAAAGGCAATTTTTATTGTCTGTATATTTTCCCTTTTGAAAAAGATATTATACTAGCTAGAAGCTAGGTAGGAGGTACAAGGAAAATTTAACAAAATAAGTATCGCGTTTTGACACCATCCTTCCCACCTGAACCATCAGTTTTCATCCTTGAATTGATTCATAAGTGTGAGATAAACTGTACCTAACTTGCCAACGCCATGTTCGATTTAGGGATATTTGAATGCACTTTATGGTTTCTTAACTCCCACATAACCCACAATAATACGAATGCTATAGCCACATATATTTCAACCAAATTACCCGTACCTCCTTAACTATTGCACAACTCAAAAATACATGAGCTTTGTCCTTTGTTTCTGACTATAGATACAGCAAGTAGGGATGGAATTGATTCTTGCTTTATTGAGATTAACCATGGTAAATAGTCTCCAATGGCTCACCTTCCAGGCTAAAATTTTCAATTTACTTGGGACGAGATTGTTCTAAAATTGTTAAAAATCATCATTTAATTGTTTATTTGTCACATGTGGAGAAATGGTCAACATAGGACTCATTCACAACGGAGAATCAGCAGGATCCCGTAAATATCAGACATTTAGTTACTTGTAACACTCCAAATCAGGTATTACCTTTGAAGCCCTTGAAATTTTAAATATTGCAAAATAAGTCCCTTAAGTACATTGGGCTTACTTCATGAGTAGGTTTGATCCTTGTGAGAGGATGTTATTAATATACGCTCAGCCTTGTGTGGGAAAGTCTCCACCTCTTCATCAAGAGTGTTCATGTGAACTGACCTGTAGTCTAGTCGCACCTTCTCGTTCTCCCTATATCTGCACATTTTAAGATCAACATAACATCATATAGCTAATTATAAGAGATTAATGATTTTCAAATTGTAATAATATCAGCAAAATAATGCATATATGCTAAATGCAGGAAATACCATTGTACTTTCATTCATTTGAGTATTATAGCGTCATATTTCATTTCTTTCTACTACAACAAACATCTACTCAATTCTAGAATTGTATTCGTAATATCATTTCTTATTAAAACATTATATTTTGAAAACTCTACCCAATTATAGCATTGAATTTTCAATTTCATTTCATATTAGAACATTACACTTTGTAGTTTTGTATTTTCATATTCATTTCTAATCAAAACGTGATGATGCTTTAAAAATCAACCCAATAATAGCAGTGAACATTGATTTTGTATTTGAACGTGATAGCTATAGCCTGGTATAGTTAAATAGGTTGGGTTGGGTTGAGATTTTCAACCTATTTATTGTTTTAGTAACCAAACAGGTCAACCCGAAAATGACCCAACGTAACCCACTGCCATCCCTATTTTTTACCAAAAGCATTGTGTTGGTTGTAGAGACTAGGACCAAGCTGAATTTTAGAAAGGACACGTAGAGGATGAGTGGACAATTTTAGAAAGGACATGTAGAGGATGAGTGGACAATGTTTTTACAAATTTAGACAGCTAAGACAGAATATATTTCGTACAATTTTAACAAGGAGCATACTAATGGAGTAGAAGTGTATATCAAGTAGCAGTGTAGTACTAGTGGGAGCAAGTACTAAACCCAAAAGAGAGTATAAAGTAATTGGGGTCTATGATCCATATAAAGAAGGGGGGACGAGGAATTTTTTGTTATTGTTGTTGATAATTGGGTAGATTTTTCAAAGTATAATAGGTCGACACGAAAGTAGGATGCCATAATAAACACACCAAGAAAAGTATGCTACTACCCATGCATATACATATGTTTATATAAAAGAGAAATTTACCCAAACGTGTGTTTCGTCCATTTCTCATCATCAGTTTTTGGCAAAAGCATTAAACTTCATTCATGAGAAAATGTAAAGAGAAGAACAAAATTAAAAAGGAGATATGAATATAATGTTAGCGAACCATAAAATCTTTATGGACATGAGCTCCTTTACTCTCTTTCCTGGCTTCAGCTGAATGCATGGTGATACATGCATTAATCAACAGGTTCTCCAACTCTATTGTCTCTAGCAAGTCAGAGTTCCTGAAATATGTCTTCACATAAATACATCTGACCATAATAATAATAAAAAAATACTAAATCTTAAAAGTCCAATGGAATTTACCATATCAAGCTTCTATCTTTCAATTTGACATCATGCATGATAACTCTCCCATGCTTTGTACATCAGATCGCAACCTACAACACTCACATAGTCAGCCAATATGGTCACCAGAAATAACATATGTATATAAATATCTATATTCTATACACACGCACACACACACACACTGACACACACCTTCTTCTAACGTCTCATGTACATGTGTTAAAGACAGCAGCATTATTTTGCATGATTCAGCATGTTCAATCGGATACGAGAGTGAAGTGAACCATTTGAATTCCTGATTTTGTCTAACCATGCAATGGTCTTCTCTCCAGTATCCTTTTCCAATGGTTTTTGTTTTTTACCTGTATATAGCAGAGAAACTTGAGGCCATATGATGCATTTTTTTCTATTAATTATACATGCAAAACTTGGAAAACAACTTCACCTGGCTTATGGATTTCTGAAACTCTATTAGCAAAAGCTCTACGGAAAACAACAATGCCACCAAAAACAACAATGCCAAGAAGAGAATTTGCTCCAAGACGATTAGCACCATGAACTGAGATTTAATTGGTGAAGAAACATAAAACATACCTACACCACGACCTTCTCTGATTTCCATTGTCATGGATATTGAAACAACATCCCTTGATGCAAGATCCTTTGCAGTTGGAGCATAACGTTCCATAAATCTTTCACCTTCACTATTCCTTAAAATACCCCCTTCACCACGAGATCCTGCATTGAGATGAACTAGGTTATAAGTCTTTTCAGTTGAACAAATAGAAATATACACTAACCTTCAGTAATGAGGCACAAACTCAAGATCCTGAAACAATTAGGTATTAATAGAAATTCATGGGGATGATGAAATAAAGTTTAGTTATAATATTAATACCTCAAGAGGAAGGCCTCCACACATAGCATTCCCATCCCCTGTGCAAGTATGAGCAGAGGTTTTTGAGAAATATGCTCTACCATAACCCTGGAAACAAAACAAAAATGTGATGAGATCATAAGTAGATATCCCTATTAGAGACCAAATTAAGTTCAACTAACGCATATTCCCCCTAGTCGCCAAGATTGGGAACAAGGGAAAATTTTGATGCAAGACTCCTATATATACTTGTGAAGTTCTTGATGCTGAACTACACCCAATAATTCAAACTTTTTATTATCTTACCACAACAATACACATCAACAAAGACAAAATTTTGCTCAAGAAGCGGTAGCGCTTAGTGCAACAATTCTGATGAAGAATAGAAATTAGGGTTTGATGAAATAGGATCAAACAGAGAAAGATTGAAAGAAAGAAGATGATGATGAAATAGAACTGATATGTTGAACGATTACACAATCTGAAATTGTTCCAGGGGAAACCCCTCTCCCATAGCCAAAGCTAGAGCCGATACGGAGTATCAAACCTAGATGAATTTCCTGTTTTACCCCTTATAGTATTTAACTATCTAATTCCTATCAAATTCATTATAATATTTTGAGGGAATAATCATTTCCTTGTATGTTCATAATAAGATGAAAGAAACAACTTGTGTTCATACAATACTTCCATAGGACAAATTATTCCTTCATACAACATTTTATCCATGAAAAAAAAGCATACTTGTGCATAATTGCATACTAAGGTTAGTGAGGTGACATTTAAGATTCTACTAGGTGATTAAGTTCTCCCGGCGAACATAGTCTAATTAGCATGTTATGCACGAGTAGTTGAAACTTCATTGAAATAACTTATAAGCAATCAACTCGAGCAAAATTGATTATCGAGTTTTTGTATCAAATAGTTATTATTCTAACATAAAGGTCGTTGAAAAAAAAATGCTCAAGGATACATGCAAAGAAAAACAATGAAACAAAACAAACCGATACTTTGACACAGCTTATAATATAATTGTTGAATTTTCACTGAAATATCAAAATTATTGTCATATCAATTTTACAATTCAAATCAAAATAAGATTATCTATATAGAAAACAGAGAGAGTATATACATGTTACAATAGTTTTTTGTGAATTGGCTTTTCCAGGTCTTCCCAGCTTCTCAAAATCATCCCACCATTGCGTAGACATCTGTTTCGTATACTCTGCCTTGTATCTCGGATGTAAACCCACATGACTGAAGAAGCCATCTTGGTGCAAAAATACAGAGACCTTTTAACAAAAGAATGCTCTGTGGAAGATGACTTATGCTTGTAACTTTTATATCTAACACTTTTAAACATTTCATCATACAGATGCTATTCGGGATATCTTGTAAAAGTTTACACCCTCTGAGGCTTAGCTTCTCTAAGCATTCTAATCGGCCAAGATCATCAGGTAACTTCTCAAGCAACCAACAATACATAAGTTCGAGAAATTTCAAATGTTTCAACATACAAATGCTATCCGGAAGATGTTTAATCGTTGTATATGACAAATCTATCTTCTCTAAACATTCTAATCGGCCAAGATCCTCGGGTAACTTCTCAAGAAGCCTACAATGCGTAATTTTGAGAGACTTCAGAGCTTTCAGCATACAAATGCTTTCAGAAAGATGTGTAATCCCTAAAGAAAACAAAGTTAGGTCCTCTAAACATTCTAACCGGCCGAGATCCTTGGGTAGCTTCTCAAGAAGCAAACAGGATATAAGTTTGAGAGATTTCAGATGTTTCAACATACAAATGCTATTTGGAAGATGCTTAATATCTGTACGCCATAAAGTTAGCTCCTCAAGACATTCTAACTGACCCATGTCCTTGGGCACCTCTAGAATACTACCTTCAAGTTTAAGATTTTTTAAACGCCGTAACCCACAAATCCTTCCTGAAAACGTTTCAAGGTTTGTGCAAGCACACATACCTACAGAAATAAGAATCTCAAGATTTCTAGTCAATGAGAGTCGATCTTCCTTATAAACTAAACCAAAGAGAAACTTTGGCAAGCTATTGTCAGGGTGAAGTGGGCATCTTTCTACGGACTCCACAATCAAGTCTAACTCGGCTAAAGGACCAACTTCAAGTGACTCATCCACTCTACTAGAAGTATAATGCTTTAAATTAAACTGAAAGGATCTAAACCCCAAACAACCACTTAGGTGCAAGTGGGCAAGGTTTTTTAGACATCCAATGGGAGTATGAAGTTCTACCAAATTATAGCATCCGTTAAGATCTAAATTCCTGAGATTTGGACTAAGCCCAAGGTTAAGGCTCCTTAAATTTGAATAACTAATGTCGAGGTTTTCCAGTTTTTGGCATTCGTCGGCCATGTGAAGTTCTTCCAAAAAATAACAATATCCAAGTTTTAAATTCTCGAGATTTGGAGTCGACCCAATGTCAAGGGTCCTCAACTTTGAATTAGTGAGTTGTAGGGATCTGAGATATAGACATCGACTGGGCATGCGAAGTTCTACTAAATCACGGCATTCAGAAAGAATTAATGTCTCGAGATTCGGAGCGAGCCCAAGGTCAAGAGTCCTCAACCTTGATGAATTACTAAGGTCGATGGATATGAGATTTAAACATCCACCGGACAAGTGAATTTCTACCAAATCATAACAGTGTCGAAGATTCAAGGTCTCGAGATTTGGAGTAAGCCCAATGTCAAAGGTATTCAGCCGTTGCGAATAACTGAGGTCAAGGAATCTCAACTTGTTAAGAACCTAACAGAAGCAAAGCAAAAAAAAAAAAAAAGATGAATATCGGTGTAATTACAAAACAATGGATGTACAACATTATGATGAATCATGCAAAACAATCAATCAACCATAATTCTACCTTGTTTCCTCCCCCTTCCCGAAGTTGTACAATTCTGCTGTTTACCATCTCAAGTGCCACAAGATTATTTGCTTGAAATGTTGTGGGTAAAGACCTAAAAGGATAATAGTTCACACATAGACATCGCAAAGCATTTGGAAGGTCCAGGATAGCTTTATTATTAAATTCCAAATCCCGGAAATGATTTCCAACTACATAATAAAGAAATCTAAGTTCCTTCATCTTTCTAAGACCTTTAATAAGAATATACGGATCGAGCTTCGTATGGTGGATTAGTATACATCTTGTTGCTTTAGTACCCTGTAATAAATAAATAAAAACAAGTCACCATGAAACTTAAGTCGTAACGAATGAAAATGTGTTTCTTTTCCCAAACTTACAAATACACTTGATACTTACCAAATCATTAGCCAATATCTCTTGAATTTCATCTTCAATCCACAAACGGCTATGTTTGTGAGGCTTATTCGGGTGCCCACGACGAACAATATTCTTGCCCATTTCTACAATATGGTCATGCATTTGCACACGCTTATCATCGAAAAATATGAGAGACTTTTGCTCAAGAACTCTTAAACCATTTCTAGCATGAAATCCACAGCTCTCAAGCACTTTGATTGCCAAGTCTTTCCGCCAACCTTTCAAGATGCATGCAACATCTAGAAATATTTCCTTGTAATCTTCCTCTAGAGCAATATAACTTATTTCCAATTTTTTCAAAGTTTCTGTTTCCGGAATCGTTTTTAGTCTTTCTAGGGCATCTATCCATTCAAGCTCATTTTTACCACAAAGAAACGAACCCAAAACTCTAATCGTTAAGGGAAGACCAGCAGCATAGCATACAACTTGTCGAGATAGCTCATTGTAACCATGAACCGGGATCTCTTTACCAAATGCATACCTACTGAAGAGGCAAATTGCTTCATTAAATGATAAGAGATTGACATCACAAATCACATTCACTCGGTATGCTAATAGCACTTGCTCATCTCTTGTTGTAATAATAATTCTACTTCCCGGCTTAAACCAATTGGGCTCGCCCGCTAATGCCTCAAGTTGGTCTATATGGTCCACATCATCTAGAACAACAAGAACCTTCCTATTAGGCATCATCCTCTTTATCACGTGCTTCCCATCATAAACACTATTTACATTGATGCCTTTATCGTTTAAGACATCTGAAAGGATTTGATTTTGCAATGTCTTCAAACCGGAAAAAGAAGCAGTTGAAACTTCCCTGACATTTTCAACAAAGCTTTTACCTTCGAACTGAAAGGATATTTGATCGAAAACAGCTCTAGCCAAAGTAGTCTTCCCACCACCTCCCATCCCCTTAATGCCCATCATGCAAACATCATCAAAACCAATTCTTAAAGATGAAACAACTTCCTTCATCCTGGATTCCATTCCTACCAACTTTTTATCAATGTTGAAACTAATGGAATGTAGCTCTAGTGAAAGCTCTTCAACGATTTTTTGAATGAACTTAGCTTCATGCCTGTATTTTCAGGAAGATTCAATTAACATACTCGTAATCCCACATGACCTGTTACTTTCAAGTCTATAACATAGAACTCAATATGCAACATAACATAGTTGTACAATCATATCTCATGGTTAACTTTTCAACAAGACGCAAAGTTTGAGTAAAAATTTGGCAATCTAAGAGGTCATTTACGAGCTTTTTAGATCCAGGGAAAACATAAAATTATTGCATAGATGTGATGAATGAATTACCCATTAGCAGTATTCTTCAACTCCCACCCAGCCAGATCTGCTGCTTCTTTCAGAGCCTCTCTCCATTTCCCAGCAGCTTCTTCATTTTCATGTTTGGAAAAGGCTTCTTCAACTGCCCCACTTTGTTTGCGGACTTCAGAAGGTTCCACATCATAGAAGACGGGGTACACAGTATGCTCAGTTGTTCTATGACATTCCATTATCTTCATGAGTTCATCCAAGCACCAGGATGAAGAGGCATAGTTCTTGGAGAAAACAATGATGTAGAATTTTGAGTCTTCAATGGATTCGATGAGCTCTTCACTAATCTTTTTTCCTTTTTTGATTTTTTCGTTGTCCTTGTAAGTGCGAATGCTTTTCTGCTGAAGCGCATGATACAGATGATCCACAAACTTCGTGCGAGTGTCTTCACCTCTAAAACTCAAAAACACATCATACTTAAAGCTCTTGTGAATTGATGAAGTTGAAGAAGATGCCATTGAATGTATACTTGGTTAATCCTTTAAAATCAAATCTTCGTTAGGGAAAATTTATGCGAAACACTTGCAAACAAACTAGAATGAGATGAATTGTCTCAAGGGTGTATACTAAGAACATAATGGATATAGCACTGATAAGGTGAACATGATGTGTGTTTTGGAAACCTTTGGAATTTGGTGGAGAAGAAACCTCTTGATTGGTCAAAATTAATTAGATAGCGTTTGGTACACGAGACTGAATTGGACAGGACAAATTTTCTACATAGGTATTTGACAGGTTATGTAAACGCATTTGATAAGGCTAGAACACAGTAAAACAAGATGTTAAAGAATACCAGATTGCCCTTATACAAATTTCTTATCAACTAAGTTTTCCACACAACTTATTCATCAAATCCATAAATTTCAAATAAATTCTAAGACCTAATAATCAATATAACTTCAAAACAACAAAGTTGTTAACCCAATTGTCTAAACATCCATAATTTTAATTAAATTTCTATGAAATTACTTAACAGATAAAACATTCTAAATCTCAATATTAATATCCTCTACTCAAGAGCACTCATACTGTGTCCCCACTGTTGCAGGTCAAAATGATCAACAACCAGTTAAAAGTAGAACAAGAATCAACAATTTGCTTAAATAATTTGATGACAACATGATGGAAGAAAAATTTTCATCTAAACAATTTTAAGGCGTTCTAATTTGTTCAAGCAGACTGCAATCTCATGATAAAGAAGTAAAACTCCACAATATGAAAATTCTGGAAACAGAAGAACTAAAAGCATATCATCAGGAGACGTACTAAGTTCAACAAAAAAGTGAGAGACTTGATTAAAGTTTTAAACTGTAAACAGCACAGCAAACCGATGTTGCTCTGATCGGATAAAGAATGAAGATTTCGACATCTTTGACTTTTGAAAATCAAACCCGACTCGTTTTCAATTACAAAATCGGTACAAATTGTTTCGAATAACCGATATGTACATTGATCTACAGGAATGTTTCACGACTGAAAATATTTGATCTGGAATTGTAAAGATACCAATATTAAGTTTGAATTTGAAAAGAACGGAGACGGAGTGAGTTTTCAAAATCATCCAGGCAAATTAGGCCGTTTCAAGGAAAACAGTCATGAATAAATCTCTTATACAGAAGCTGTTCTTGAACTGGTCTCTATACATCAAGACTAATGGTCTATTTTGCAAGATTACAACTTTTTAATGTTTGAATATCCTCTACAATCAGAAGGAAATCAAGCAAAGTATAGAAATTAAGATAGAGATTAAGCTAGTACCGGTGGCAGGTGGTATAAACGGTACTTGAGGTGTTGGATAGAAGAGAGGAGACACGAGAGAAGAGAATCGTTGATGGAGATTGAGAGAGTAGAGACGAGAGAGAAGTGTTGACCAGTTGCGTTTGGGTGAAAGTCGGAGACGACCGGCCGTGTGATGATCGATGAAAGTGAGATGCGATTCGCAAAACTAGAATAGTGGACCATGGGAAGCAGTTTTGGTAGGACCAAACCTATCAACCAAAATCTGAACCTTACTCCAAAATTACTGTCTTTGTTTGAAAGGTTTATTTAGGGTCAAGTTTCTCTAATGATATAATATCATGTCATGTGTCTATTTTTTATTTTAGATTTTAAAATTTAAAATTTTTATTATTAATTATATCAAACTAGGTGAGGAACCTGTTTTGTGGGGTATAGATTTGTTAATAGTATAGAAAATAAGAGATTATTGATAAATTGTTTTGGTTGTTTATGGTACGCTTTGACAGTTTATTCTGGTGGGCGTGAGTTTCTTTCTAAATCATCCATGCCATATTTTAAAAAAAATGCTAAGTCGTTATACAAAATTGAACAAAAACCAATTGAAACTTGGCTACTCTTAGATATATTACCGTATTGTATGCAAATTTATAATATTATAAAAAGTAGTACATAAACAATAAAGTAACTAATCCAAATCGTTAGATTTAGCAATAGTTGTTGTAGAAATAGTAACTTATTTTCATTACTTTATTTGTTATAACATGTTGCTTTAAAGTACAAGTATTAGGAAGAAAAAATAGTAAAAGTAGAGTGTTGTAAATGGAAAGAAATGAAATCCTCATAAGCTTTCAGCAACTATGTTTAACGTCATTATTACATATGTAACTTGATGTTACTTGTATTTAGTTTCCTACAACAAAGAGTTCAAATTTGAATAATGAGTTTAGTCCATTTTTATTTATAAATAAATAGATAATATGAAGTCTTACCATATATATAAGTGGTAATTTCTGTAAACAATAAAATATTTTCAAAAGTATGCATCTTTTTTTTGCTTTTTCCGAATTTAAGTGCTCAAAAGTAAAATATATTGGTGACTTCAACCGTTTTCCTAGTCCATGCATAATTAAATAACTAAATTTTAGAATGTAATAAATAGCAATGTGCTTTTGTTAATAGTTTTTTCTATTATATTCTACTTCCATTTTTTCCTATAGTTCCAAAAATTATATATTACACTAAACCACCAATAACAACAATTTTAGTGGCATTGACAAATGACATTGTCAAGGACCTAGCTTTTACTCCAAAATGATAATGGGTAACAAAATTTCTTCTTGCTGCATTTCAAAAAGGTTCAATTTAAGTGTGACTTTTTTATTTGCACTGTTAGTTTAATATTAATACTTATCATTTAGATTTGGTTTGTGTGTTATACCAAATTTGGTTCCTTAAGTTAACCGAAAATGTAACATCCTATTTAATTAATAAATAAATAGATAAATTGGATGAGTGAATAGTCGCAATAAATTCATAATATTTAGTGGTGTGTTGGTTTTGGGAAGCCAAATGTTATAAATCGGATCATTCGGGGGTTAAAAAGTAATTTTGGAATTTATTTTGAAAAGATTTTGGAGGCTAAGGGGCTATTTGGTAAGTATTAGACTTAATTTGTAAATGATTTCAGGAGGTTGGGTTAAAAAGGTAAATGTCTGACTTAAAATGAAAAGAATTGGGGGAGCAGGGGTATAAAGAGTAAATTTTGGGCCTTTGATGCAAAAGTGTTATGGGGAGGGACCAGTTATGCCATTATGGCAAACTTTTATAAGGAGCGGGTATTTAAGGGTTCTAAACCCTAACCTAAAGAGAAGAAGCGGCCGCTACCTCCCACCTTGTCTCTCTTGTTTGCGGTCGCAAGCCTCACGACCCCCACCACCAGTTATGTTCCTTCGCCCGTTGAAGCCGGAGTGCAAAGTCACCAGCTACCGGGAAGCACCAGATCATCCGGCGCCGTTGTTGCTTCAATGTACCGGCGAAGAGATGTCGCCTCCGATGTGAACCGTTGCCTTGTGCTGCTGCTGCTGATGACGCGTCGCCATCTTCTGCTACGATGGATTTCGACCGTGTTCCATTGTCGGTGTCGAGCAGTAAACGCTGTATTCCCCTTTCTTCTCTTGCTGCTACTGTGATTATTGTTTCCGGGATGGATTGCCACCATTTTCCCCACCGTAAACGCCCCTCCATTTCCGGTTACGGTTGGACCTGTCATGTGTCATCGCTGTCGCCATCGTTTTATACCATCGTCGTCATTTGCGCCACCTGGAGGGGTAGCTGGGCTCGTTTACGGCCAGAAGTGGGCATGGTGGTGGTGTGCTCATATGATGTGGTGGTTTGAGGCTATATGAGCACTGCTTGGTTGGAGATCCGAAGAAAGACCCCACTGCCACCACCGTGAGGTGGTGGCTGCCGCACTCTACCGCCGACTGCCGCCAAGATGGTTGTGTGTGTGTGTTAGATTAATATGTGTGTGTTTATTTTGTTTAGTGTGTATTTATTTTGAGAGTAAAGCCTTGTAAAATGTAACAGAAAGTGAAATAATGAAAGAAAGGAACCCTAACCACCACTGTGAGGTGGTGGCTGCCGCCACCGGCCGCCGTGTCGGGTGGCGGTATGCTTGTCTTGTTGAGTTTGATTCGTTTGGGTGCTTGAAACTAGCGGTGGCAAAAGTTGACACGACACGATAAAAATACACGAAACGAAATTGAGACGAAATAGAAATTTGAATTCATGTTCGTGTTGTTTAAAAAAAACGACGTCGTGTCGTGTTCGTGTTTCAAATTAGAAACGATAACAACACAACTAAAACACGATATATACACGATTATAACATGATATTAAAACGAAATGAAACACGACTATAGAACAATACTAAAACGATAATAGCACGATAATTCCATTTTACACTTTATTAAATGATAGGTATTTAATAAAATAATAATAATAGGTATTTAAATTTATGCATTAAAATAATTAAACAATTAAGGATTCAAGACCTAGGCCTTTCCATCGGCTTCTTTGAAAACCCAAAAGACTTTTAGAAATTCTAATCGGTGTTTTGCATCTCCCCATTCTCAATACTCAATAGAACTAGAACCATAAACCGTTGATGGCGGTGTTATTTGAAAACCATACACAATCAATTTTGTTAAAGGAATCTCCAGTTCATTATTTGTTTTTAAACTACAATCCCTCAACCACAAGCCGACAATCGGTGATCGCAAAACCAATTTGCTCTAGCCGTTTCCTATTCTTGCTTCTCAAACTTGTTTCGTTTATGGTTTAGCCGTTCAGACAATCGCAATTGACTCATATACTTGCTTTATTGCTTCTCAAATCTCAACGACAATTGACGCAAGAAAGGTAATTTTATTATTTAATTTTCAAAGAATGTTGCAACTGGTTACTTAGAAAATGACTTTTGTGAATTGTGATATCGTTAAGTACGCAAATACGTAATAGCACTAAACATTTGTGCACTCAATAATTTGTCACTTGCTTTTTTTGTAGTTTCTTATACAAAAAGAAAATAAAAATATTTCTGTGATAATTCTTGATTGATTTTGCAATAAGGAGAAGTTGTATACATCTTATCTCTTGATTACTTCTAATATTGCTCCATACTTGTTTCTGAGATACTTGATTTTACTTATACTTCTAGTCTTCTTAATTACTCTGAATTTTGTTGTTATTTTAATAAACTGTACATTCCATATTTTGCTTCTGATTGCTTTCTTAGTTTCATATTGCAGCTTTCTTTTAAATATTTGTTTCCAATTTTTATTTCAAACAGTTTGATAAGAAAATCGACATGAAGAGGGCAAAGCTTGATAAAACACATAATACAAAAAAGGCAAAGCTTAATAAAACAGATACACATTCTGCAACTGTAGCTCCTCAGATATTTTATTATTTTTTTAAACTTTTCCCCATCTAAATTATATAATTTCTGAAAAAGACCTTCCTTTTTTATTTTAGGATGTAGAACTTGAAGAAGAAGCTCATGACATTGATGTTGTGGAGGTAGATGTTAAAGTAGAGGGTGAAGAAGATCATGTAAAAATGGAAAGGGAAAGGTGGTTTGAGGTATGGAAGTATTATACTAGACTTCCAATTGGTGCAGATGGTAGGGAAAGGGCTGAATGTGATAAGTGCAAAAAAAAAGATACATTTGTGAAACAAAAAATGGGACAGGTAGCTTGAGAAATCACATTGCAAAGTGTCCAAGAAGGGACAAAAGTGACATAGCACAATTCATTTTTGCAAAATCAGGTGGTTCAATTTCAATAAATTCCACAGCTTTTAAACCCGAAAGATTCCGTGAACTTATTAGTGAAGCTATTGTCAAGCATGACCTTCCCTTTAGGTTTGTAGAGTATGAGGGTATTAGAGAAATCTTTAGTTACTTAAATGAAAAAGTTACCACAATTACTAGAAACACCGCTAAAGAAGATGCGCTGAATTTGTTTAAAAGAGAAAAAGGAAAACTCAAGAAATTGTTTGAGTTACTTCCTGGTCGAATTTCATTAACTGCTGATTTGTGGTCTTCTATTAACACAGATGGTTTCTTGTGTGTTACTTCTCACTTTATTGATGAGGAGTGGAAGTTGCAAAAAAGAATTTTGAACTTTCAATATATGCCACCTCCACATAATGGTGTATGTTTGACCGAAACAATATCTACTTTATTGACCAATTGGGGGATTGATAAAAAGTTGTTTACAATCACGTTAGATAATGCTGCAAGTAATGATACTTTTGTCAATCTCCTAAAAGGTCAATTATGTAATGAAGGTGCACTTCATAGTAACGGAGATTATTTTCATGTTCGATGTTGTGCTCACGTGTTAAATTTAGTTGTGCAAGATGGCTTGAAGGCTATTGATGAAGGGATTGTCAAAATTAGAGAATCTATCAAGTACGTGAAGGGATCTTCAGTAAGGAAAAGAAACTTTCTGAATTGTGTGAAACAGGTTAATTTGAATCCAAATAAAGGCTTGCGACAAGATGTTCCAACAAGATGGAATGCTACTTTTCTTATGATTGAAAGTGCCCTTTTTTATCGTCGTGCTTTTTTCCGTTTAGCACTAAGTGATTCTAATTACTTAGATTGTCCAAGTAATGAAGAATGGGGCAAATTAGAAAAGATTTTCAAATTTTTGGAAGTATTTTATGAAGTCACATGCATTTTTTCTGGAAATAAGTATTGCACAGCAAACTTATATTTTCCTTCAGTTTCCACGGTTGTAAGAAATTTAAAAGAAGAAATAGAAAGTTCGGATACGTTTATAAAGATAATGGCTTGCAAAATGTATGAGAAGTTCTCTAAATATTGGTCCGAGTATAGTCCAATTTTGGCCATGGCTGCAGTTTTGGATCCACGTTATAAAATGCAATATGTTGAGTTTACTTACAAAAAACTCTATGGAAGCAGTTTTCGTGAGCATAGTGATTGTATTCGGGAGAAGTTACATGATCTATTTGGTGAATACGTTATTGAATCACCCATGGCTTATAGAGCATCAACCATTTCAACAAGTAATTCAAGTAAAAGTGTTTACAAAAAGAAAGATGACACAACACTTAGTAAAAGCACGAGAGAAATGCTACAAGTAAGAAGTTGTTTTTACTAATTAATTTTTTTATATAATTAGTTTATTTCATAAGTTTTTTTAATTTATACTAATTAATTTTATGTTTTCATAGGAGTTCACAGTGTATGAAACTAAGGAGTTTGCTTTGTCTCAAAAATCACAATTAGAGATGTATCTAGATGAGCCAAGAAGTGACATAACTGAAGATATAAATGTACTTTCTTTTTGGAAAGCTCATCAATATCGTTATCCGGAACTTGCTTCCATGGCTCGAGATATTTTGAGCATCCCCGTTTCCACAGTGGCATCCGAATCAGCCTTTAGTAATGGTGGTCGTATTCTTGATCAATATCGAAGTTCGTTGAAACATGAAAATGTTGAAGCTCTAATTTGTGCAAAAGATTGGTTGTTTGGGATTAAAGGTAATTTGTATTCTTCTTGAAACATTTGTATAAAGTATTTAATATTTTTAATATGTTTTTAATATTGTTTGTAGGTGATGAAGAGTTATGTTTACAAGATCTTACCGAAGATGTTATGAAGTTTGATAACAATGCTAATGGTACACATGAAGAAATGGAGTCACAAGCTTGAAGACATTTAGCAAAATTTTATGACGTTTTATGTTATTTTCTGTCACTAAATGTGTATTTGTTATGTTTAATTTAACTTTTTTTGCAAGAACTATGAATGACATTATGGAATTGTTTTTTTTTTGGTAAATTATTTCGTGTTATCGGTTTTTTCGTGTTTTCGTGTTTTTTTTTTTTTTCGTGTTCGTGTTAACGAAAACAAACACGATATCGTTTCGTTTCGTGTTCGGGTTGAGGGAAAATAATTCGTGTCATGTCGTGTTAGATAAAAACACGGCACGACTGCCCGATTTGCTACCCCTACTTGAAACCCTAATTGGCCTTGTAGGCCCTAATGGACCCAATGAAGCTTAATGGACCTATAATCCCAAGCATGTGACTAATGGGCTTAATGATATTCTAATGGGCCTAATAGACCCAATAAAGCCCTAATTGACCTAAAGGCCCAACAAATTGATAAATGGGCTAGTATTTGGGTTGGAAACCCTAATGCCAATAAAACCATAATTTTGAGAATTTATCGGGACACACACGAGAATTATTTAATAACTTGAAATGTTAAATAATAATCATTGGCAGAAATTAATCTAAGCAATATTAGACTTAATGGATTAAGTCCTTAGTAGATTAAGTCCTTAGTGGGTTAAGTCCTTAATGGGTTAAGTGAGAAACACTTAACTCTAATCGTTATTTTATGTGAAAACCTAATTTCACTTGGGCCTTAAGTTGGACCTTTCCATTGGGCTTTGATGATTGGGTTATAAATGGGTCATCCAAGAATAATCAAATGGACTAGAATAATTAGATGGACTTTAGGGTAAGGCCCATATGTGAGGGTTTGGTTCCAATTTGGAAAAATGGTCCATAGATGGGCCATATTTAGGCCTTCATGATTATGAGATGTTGGGCCACTTGAAATGCCAAATGTTTGGACCGGACTAAATAGTCGGGCCTTAGAATAATACCATGTAAAGGTTTGGGACTAATTTGGAAAATTGGTCATATGTTGGGCTTTGATTCATAGTTTAAATTTTAGGCCTTTAAATTTGGGACTTGAGTTGAACCAAGCTAAGATAGGGGTAAAGCAACCTTTTAACCCGAGCTTGGACTTATGATTTTTGTGTTGGAGCCCAATTATTAATTAGGCGATGTTTTGATATTGACAGTTCGAGAATATGTCATCCAACAACTGGGTTTTTGTCTACGGGACTTCAGCAGTAAGAGGTGAGTCTTTTCACCATACCAATGGGTCTAAGGCACCAAGGTCGGCCGATTTTATGTTATGTGGTACAATATTTGTAGTATAGATATGTGGTATGATAGTTAGCTTTATGCTGAGTGGTATGCTAGTGATTATATGATATGTGTTATGCTAATTGTCTTTGTGATACTTGCATGGAAGACCCTTGGAGGAGCCCGTGACATTAGATGTAAGACCATGTGGGGTAGCCCATGGCAGTCCTAGGTAAAGACCATGTGGGGTAGCCCATGGCATTGGATGTAAGACCATGTAGGGTAGCCCATGGCAGTCCTAGGTAAAGACCATGTGGGGTAGCCCATGGCATTGTTACAGGTTTTTGTATGTGTGGCTTATGTGTTATATGTAGATTCTATAGCTAGTAGGAATTGTGATACAGGTAGATTTTATAGCTGACAAGATATGTGATATGTGTATTGTGTGTATGGTATGCTCTGGGAAACTCACTAAGCTTCATGCTTACAGGTTTTGTTTATGGTTTCAGGTATCATCATTTTGGAAAGGAAGAGCTCGGATTGATCGCAGCACACACACTTACGATTTCCACAATGAATGATTTTGGGATAAACTCTGGTAGATGATTTACTTGACTATGATTTGAAATGTTTGAATTAAATGGTATTAATGTTTTAGTTATATTAAGAACGAAATTTTTACCCTTGATTTTTAGGTCGTTACAAGTTGGTATCAGAGCCTTGGTTTGAGGGATTCGGGCACACTCTCAGGTGTGTCTGGACTCAGAGTGAGGACTTGGTATGAAATTTTCCAAAAGAAAACCATTTTTACGAAAAGGAATTTGAAAAGGAAGCTAAAAAAGGAAAAGAACTTTGAAAAGAACAATGTGTGTGATGCGTGCAATCACCCGAGCTCAAGTAAGTTTCCCTAAAATAGCCACATGTGTTGTCTGTTATGACTTGGTTTATGAATCTGTGACTCACATGCTAGTTTATGAATAATATATTTGGCCTTATTTGTAGCACCTGGTTCCTGGTACACATTTAAATTCAAGTATTTTGGTATTCTACTCTGGGACTCTACGAGTTGGAGGCCCAACTCGTCGATTAGACTCGACATTATGTGGGGGTTTTAGTGATCTACTCGACGATTATGGGGACCGACTCGACGAGTAGGAGCTGTCTAGACAACACCCTAATGTTTAGGGTTTGCACCCTATTTAAACACTTTATCTCGTCCCAAACCAACCTCCATCACCCCTCCCAACTCCGAGAAGCCCTAGATTGAAACCCTAACCTTGCTTGGGTGATTTTGAGCCATTTTTGTGTGTTTTGTGGTGCTTTGAAGTTTGAAGAAGAGAAGGAAGCTTGGAATATCAATAGAAGACTAGTAGATCCAGAGGTTTTGACTTATTTCCATCCCATTCAAGGTAAAAAGCTTCAACCTTGACTTCTCATTTGATAGATCTCCTCTAGGGCTTAGATCTTATCATTTTGGGACATTTATAAGGCCATATTCGGATTGAGTTTGTATCATGAAGTTACACTTCGGATCTTGTGAGGGTTCCTATGGCATAAAGGTGCCAACTTTATGGGCATAGGAAGCCCATGCATCTTATAAGCCCCTTTTCATGGATTTTGGAGCCAAAAACCCCATGCATGGATATCAAGTTCGTAGCTTTACGTATGAAATGGACCCTAGGAGGTCAGATCTATGGTTTTGATGCATTAAGACCCATTATAATCAACTATATAGTTTTAGACAAAGATGGACTCGGCGAGCCGGGTCGCTGTTTTCCCCAAAAGTCTTCTGGTAATGGTCTTTGGTTGAGTGGAAGGAACACTCAGCCTGTTATGGGTTTGTCATGGACTTGAAGATCAAAGGACTCGGCGAGTGGATGAACAGACTCGGCGAGTCCAAGGCAATGTCCCAACCATATGAAGATGGACTCGACGAGTTCAAGAAGAACTCAACGAGTCATATACTGAACACCTACATATGGATGAAGATGGACTCGACGAGTTCAAGGAGGAACTCGACGAGTCGGTTGAAGAAGGTCCGAGGTGTTGTTGAAGGCGAACTCATCGAGCACTTGCTAGACTCGACAAGTAGGGACAAGGTTGTAGATTTTCGTGGACGAGGGGACTCGACAAGTTAGTGAACCAACTCGATGAGTCTAGTTAACCAAATGTTCACTTTGACCAAAAGTTGACTTTGACCAAGGTTTTGACTTTAACTTTGTCTTGGACTTGAGTGACCCTTGTAAGGCTTATGAGTATGAATTGATAACCGAGAAAGTTGTCGTGTAGGGATTGGGGTGTCGGGGAGAGTTGGTTTTCATACCGAGGACAGTACAGACACTACACGACATTTAGGTAAGTTACCTTCCAATAGAAGTGGGTCTAAGGCACCAAGGTCGGCCCACCAGTAATTGATTATAGTTGAGATGATTGTCTTTGTGATAATTGTCTGGTTTGCTACTACCTGATATGTGTTAGCATGATATGTTATATGTGATAATGGTAGTAGGAGGGGAATAGTCCCCCGATTTGGTCGTTAGGACCGAAGGGTAGGTTGGACACCCCAGATATGTCTGACAGTATGTTTATCATATGTTATTATGTGATAGTAGTAGGGGTGAAATAGTCCTTGTGACTGGGTGAGATAGACTGGAGGGTAGGTAGGCACCCCAAAATGGCGTGACACAGGTAGGTCAGCACCCCAAAACGACTTGACATGGGTAGGTCAACACCCTAGAGTGGTTTGACATGGGTAGGTCGGGCACCCCAGAATTGCCCGACAGAATGTATGATTGCATGGTATGTGGTATGATGGGGGAACTCACTAAGTTTCGTGCGTACCGTTTTTACATTTGGTTTCAGGTACTTCTTCAGCTAAGGGGAAGGAGCCGGTAGGGTAGCAGTGCATCGTATACACATGATTTCCGCTGTGAGAACCCTAGGATTGTACTTTGATATTTTACCATTATATGTTATGGTTTTTGAGACTTGTGATCTGTGATTTGATGTTTTGAAATGACAACAAGGATGTTTGCGTAAACTATTTTTATAAGTAATATCATTAAACAAAAAATTTTGGGTCTCGATTTTGGGATGTTACATCATAAGTGCTAAACTTTAATATATCTTTCTTACTTACATGATATCTGAAATAACACAAAAGTGATAAATTTAGATATACTTTTTTACTTACCTGATATCTGAAATATCACAAAAGTGATAAATTTAGATATACTTTTTTTACGTACTTGATATAAGATATGGATATCACATAAGTAACAATCCATCAGAGAAATGTTCACCCCTTTTAGATAACCTGTAAGAAACTGATATCACAACACCTTCTTCTTCCCCTGCCCCTTCCATAACTCCCCTACCCCCTGCCCCTTTATATCTTCAGGTATATGAGGTTGATAGTATGTTCATAATGAACAAAAATATACTACAAGCAAGTAGTTAGCGGGGCTATATTACAAAACATCAAATGTCCAAAAGAACTTGTAAAATGCACATGCAACCCCTTATACAAAACGCACCAATTTTTGGGTTTGGATTTAGGAATAGTGTTCATTGGATTTTGCTAAGATGCATAGATGCTTTTAGGTTTTGATTTTGCTTAAAAAAAACACCAACTGTAGGGGCTTCGTGTCAGGCTTATCACCTAGTTTATTTTACAAAACCATATAAACGAACATAATTTTTCTATAAATAAAAATATTAAGTGTCGTTTAATAATAATAATAATATATATATATATATATATATATA